ACTTCTTTTTCCATAGTGTATTTTGTGTATTGTTTTAGTAATTCACCATTGTGAAGGCTCAGGTTTTCTGGGTCTCTATGTTTTTGGTTGGATAGGTTTCTCAATTTCTTTTTTAGGTTTTTGCATTCTTCATCAATGTTGTTAATTTTCTTAGGTTGTCTGCTTTTTAGATTTGATAGGGAAGCTGAGAGGTCAAATATACTGCCAAGTTTACACCTTTACTATTACAGTGAAACATTTTGTCTAGGAAGTTGTCGCTCTCTCTTTCCCCGCCTCTCTCTCTCTCTCTGACCTCATGATATGCTCCCCATTGAGACTTCATTGATCCTGGTCCTGAGTTAATCTCTCCTGACTGTTGGGTATTCATTCCTGTCACCTCCCTGCTCCCTGGTCATTAACCACCCAGTGATATGTTACTGTTTAATGGTCTTTCGGATGATTCATGGCTGATGATGTGTGGATATGTGAATGATGATATGAGGGGCAAGGGTTGTGATCCATGGATGATTTCACAGTCACACTCGTAGCGGTTGGATTCCCATTGGTTTGATTCAAAATGTGCCGGTTACACATTGCCCTATTGGATCCTCATTGGTCCAATCAATATGCTGGCAAAAGCATAATTTTGTTTTGAGTATGTCCCCACTCGTTGTGGCATAGATTGTGTCCCAAATGTTACCCTATTCCCTACATAGTGCACCATTTTTAACCAGAGCCCTATGTGCCCTTGTCAAAAGGAGTGCACTACAAAGGTAATAGGGTGCCATTTGGGAAGCAGCCATAGCCTGGCTGGGTGCCCGAAATGACAGCTTGTTTTTTGGAGCTCTCTCTCTGACACCTTTAAATCCACAGGAAAGCCTGTAAAACTGTCAGCATGGTTTATGAGGTGCTAGAATCACCACTGTTATCAAAATGTGGATGCAGCACATTCATTATAACCATAAAGCTGCAGTCTCTGTCATAAAGCAATTTCAAACTGCCAACAAATGTCGTAAAATAAACTTTTACTGCATAGAGCCTGCAAATGAAGATATGAAATCATGTAAAAGCAAGTGTGAGTTAATAAAGCTATAAAGAACAGTGTAAAAAGAGAAGAGTAAGTGTAGTTTACAAAAAGGATAAAGGGACAATCAGCAGTTGCTACATATTTTTTATTTACTTTTAATATGTACCCATTGATTATTGAAGATTATAACTTATAAATGTACTCCATCAGAACCCAAAATATAAGTTTGTTTTACTCCAATGTTTATCACAAAGTAAATGTAAACAAACACTATATAGCCTCAAAGCATGGTTAACACTAGAACTGCTGGGTCTCAGAGGGGCCCCCCTTCAAGCTAAGGAGCAGTCATTCTGACTGCAACATTCTAACAGTGTCATTAATATATTTCATATATGCTATCCCTAAAATAATCATTTGGTTGTGTTCATGAAGGTGTTAGGTAACATTAGAATGCAATTTTTTAAAGTTTTATTTCAAATAACAAAATAGCATTTTAATTAGTCTATGTCACTCTATACAACAACAAAATAATACTGTACTATAAATTGTATTTGTGAAGAGCATTTATTACAATTATGAAACATAAACCATATGTGTTGGAACATGGTAAGAGCTTCTTTTTATAGATGTTACACTTTTTTTTTTAACAAAATACCCATGCAAAATGCGCGGTCGATTATGAAAACAGTACCCTAAACATCATTAGCGTCAAGTGTGCTTGATAAATAGTGAAAATCAGCACAATAAGCAATAAAGGCATTATAATGAATATAAACATTTTAAATTATTGACAGCTTGTGGTTAAATGGTCTGTGTTTTCACGCAATGGCATCAGTTGGATTTCATTTAGCGGTTATCCCTTGTCCTAACAGTCAACACAAATCCTCGCCACTTTCTTGACACACTTCAAACAAACACGTCTCTTGCATGTGACACAAGTGTTTTGGTTTCTGTTCTTTGTGCATCTGGCCACCTGGCACTATGATGCCTGGGAGCTGTGCGCAATTTTCCTTGCGCAATGGCTCGCGTGGAATCTTTGCTCCTGCCTTGGCACTCATATATCGCTCATGTAGCCCGTATGCTAGACTCATGATTCAATCTTTCCTGGGCATGGTGTTGTTCATGCATTGCTTGAACAATACATGTGCGTTGATAGCAGCTAAGTCAAGCATGTTATAGAACACCGCAACACGCCAGCGTGCCATCTGATCCAAAAAATTCCACACCAATTTCTGGAACAGAATAGAGTAGAAAACATTATGACAATTTTCCCGTAGGAAAAACAACATGTGTTATACAGAGGAGCATAATGCATTGCATAAGTTTATCTACAGCACATAGGCCTATGGCGATGCGTATTATGTAATATTGTAGTGCATAATAGTATCCGTTTTTCTCTTTATTGTGTCCCTGTCGATGGCAACTGTCGGATGCATGGTGCTCATGACAGGAACGTCCTTTCTTGCATTGCATTGGTATAGTGTTAGTGTTGTCTTGTCATTCTTCACCACCGTTGTGGAGTACAACCGCTGTGCGGGTGACTTATTTTGCGCAGAGGGATCTCCCGTCTCGCTTTGTTCATTGTGCCGACTAGGCTTGTTTTTATTTGCAAGCAACTTGTTCACCAATGACAGTGAAGTGACGAAATTGTCCAATGTGACATTTCTCCCCTTGCCAACGTAAGGTTCCACAAGCCTCACCATCGCATTCTCCAACACTCGCTCACCTGCTGCCCGATGTGGATCTTTTCCGAAACTGTGTCATCCCTTCATTCCTGTCTCACGGTTTCATTTGGTGGTGGCGCGGGCGTACAGTTCTGTCTTTTTTTGCGCTTAGGCCTCGGAGGTGTAGGTTCAGGCTGAGGCTCAGAATCAGAAGAATAATCATCAGAGATGTCACGATTAATTTATTCCCCACCATCTGAGTCGTTTTCATTCCGATATTGTAGCAGCGCTAACGCAGCATGTGCATCCATTCATCTTGGTCTTCTTGCCATTGTAAATTACGCACGCTCTCACTGTGTACTACAAGTAAGCCAGAGTAGACTGATAAGACTGCTTGGATTTGGTGGACTGATATAGGTACATACCATTTTTAGATTATAATTAGAATATACCAATACAATAGAATGGCCCGCCCTTTTCTTCATTCACAATTGGTGATTACATAATTATGCATTCTCCGCTTCCCCTTACTCATCAACTCACCCATTCTCCCTCTTTCTCCCCATCATACTTTACTTAATTTATTTAATCTGTTGTTATATGTGTGAAAATCGTTTCGGTATAGTTTAGGTTCAGTTTCGAGGCAATTGTCGGGGTAATTATGAACTGGCCACTGCACCTTCCAATGTCGGGAGAATGAGCGGAGCAGGCCCTACTGTCTGGAGAAGGAGGGGCAAAGGGGAAAACCATTCACATAATGACATGCCCTCCTAAAACTCGTTATAACTTCAGTTCTGTTTGTGATATTACGATTCTAACAAGGGAAGTGTGTTATACAGACTTATTTAGGAAAAGTCAAGGATGGAGGGGGGCATGATAAATACATTCATTAATGAGCAGTCAAAATGACTCTTTTAGCGGTTCTAGTGTTAAAACTATCATTTGGATATCTTGAATGGTCAGCCCTTGCATCCATAGCTCTGTCTATGGGAAAATCTCTATTGCATACTCCTTGCGTCCTCTCTCCTCCTCTCCTTCTCAAAACCCATTGGAGGAGAAGGTCAGAGAGGAGGGACCTCTGGCTTTCTTGTCTAATGGGTTTTGAGAAGGAGATGAGGAGAGAGGAAGCAAGGAGTTTGCAATTGAGATCTTCCTCATGAATTTGAGAGTGACTACATTTCTCCAGCTCATCCCTAAACTTTTTAGTTTTTTTTTTATCACAGAAATATAACAACATTACTGCTACTGTTACTTCTGTAATGGAGTAATGGAAACAGTCAGGGAGAGAAACAAATCTAATATTCTTCTTGTATTACAGAACCAGGACAGGCTAGCAGAAAATGTTGCTTTGTGGGAAGGGAACTTTAATAAGTACTCAATTTAATTTATGACATTAGATATCATATAATGTCTCTCAGAGGAGGCTGGTGGGAGGATCTATAGGAGGATGGGCTCATTGTAACAGCAGGAATGGAGTTAATGGAACGGAGTCAAATGTGGTTTCCATGTGTTTGATGTGTTTGATACCGTTCCATTTATACCATTCCAGCAATTACAATGAGCCTGCCCTCCTATATCTCCTCCCACCAGCCTCCTCTGATGTCTCTCTATGGAAACATATTTAATATTCAATTAAAGGGATACTTCGGGATTTTGGCCATGATGCCCTTTATCTACTTCCCCAAAGTCAGATGAACTAGTGGCTCCAAATGTTATACCTCTTTGTCCATTATGAAGGATGTTAGAGGTAGTTTTGCAAGCCAATGTTAACTAGCGTTAGCACAATGACTGGATATCTATGGGTATCTGCCAGCATGCTAGTAAACACCCACAGACTTTCAGTCATTGCGCTAAAGCTAGTTAGCATTGGCTCGCGAAATTACCTATAACTTCCTTCATACTATACACAGAGACATAAAAATGGTATCCACAAGTTCATCTGACTCTGGGGAAGTAGATAATGGGCCTAATTACCAAAATCCCGAAGTATCCTATCGTATCTAGTTTTATGTATTGACTGGGGGAAGATTGTGAAGCTTACATAGATTTGTTCTTCTAAGGTGTGTGGGCAAGCAGGCAATGTGAACATGTCACTTATGCTTACCTTACAATGCATCAGCATCAGCCCCTAAAAATGTTTTGCTCTAGTTGTTTGTTATCCTCTAAATTGCCTTTATCACCTCTTGTGTTCCTCCTTCTCCAAATCGTATCCTCTCTCTCTCTCTCTCTCTCTCTCTCTCTCTCTCTCTCTCTCTCTATCTCTCTCTCTCTCTCTATCTCTCTCTCTCTCTCTCTCTCTCTCTCTCTCTCTCTCTCTCTCTCGTCTCTAGAACTGGCTGACTGAGCTGGAGATCTTTGCCATGATCTTTGCTGCTGCCGTCCATGATTACGAACACACAGGGACCACTAACAACTTCCATATCCAGACCAGGTAATATTCTATGACAGCCGTAACACAAGCAGAAAATAGCACTCAGCAAGGGGATAATTCATAGGCCAGGGGCAACGAAACAGGGATGGGAACTCATTGTTATGCATTTAGAGAGGGGATGATTAAAAACCGTGAATGGCAGTTCTATTCTAATTCCACCTCTGCCTCGTGACGGCGGCCATTGTTGAGCCTAATCCTCAATGCACAACAAGTTCTAATTAATAACAAAACTCTCTGACATTTCTTTAGGTATGAGTTTTATTGCAAAACAGGTCAATATAAGCTACAGTGTATCTAAACTACATGAAGTACCATATAGATCAACTCAAATGTGATGATAATAAACCATGTATTGGATTAGAGCAGGGGCTTTATATTTACCCCATCGAAATATAATTACTAAAACAGACATTCCCATTCAAATCAAACAATGTTCCATCATTCTATTTCTATGGTTTACCCTCTCCTAACTGTGTTGTCTCAGGTCAGGCACGGCCATCTTGTATAATGACCGTGCAGTTCTGGAGAACCACCATGTGAGTGCTGCCTACCGCCTCCTACAGGACGATGATGAGATGAACATCCTCCTCAACCTGTCCAAAGACGACTGGAGGTAGGCGAGACTCAGAGAGTTCGGGACCCTGGTGGTAGCAGGGCCGTGCACAGACCTTTTGGGGGGCATGTACTCAAACAAAAAAAGGGCACCCCTGTAAAACAATTCCCACAACCGCAGTCAGAGACTTGTTGAGCAATTATTAGTTTGATTATTTCATTACATAAAAGCAATAGACAAGATAGATGCTATTGTTGTATCATTTGCTAAGATTTGGTTAACATGCTTCATGTGTGTCATTGAGAAGAGGGTAAAGCAGCACAATCTGATGAGTTAAAGTATTTGGCAAAACGATTTTCAACTGCAATAAAGGCTGCACTTATTAACAATAACCAACACAATTCCAGTCAAAATAGAAGATTATAAGAAATACTGTAGCCTACCATTACTATTTCCAACCCAACACCATTTGTTGCCTCTATCATGTATCCTATACTGGCTGAAGCTTTGATCCAGTGGAATAAGTTTTGAGGAGCAGGGAGGTTGAAGGTGACTTCAGGAACACAGCTGCTGCTCTACACTATCCCTAAATAAGACAGTAATGAGAGCAAATGAATAGAATATTGTGAGAAATACTGTAGCCAACCATTACTAGACCATATATTGCTTTACTATAGCCTACCATTCCCTAATAAGCCAGTAAAGAGAGCATGGTGATCACTGATGATGACTGATAACGTTCTTAGCAAGCAGACTAATTAGGCTACCATATGCTACAACAAAATGGCTAGCTAGCTAGATTACTTTTTTTTTTTTTTACAGATTGTGATTTATCACCAATGCTCATAAATAATGACTTCATAATCTAATATCCCTAATCTTATAACTTCATAGTTTAATTTAATAATTATGTCATTTAAAAGTAATTTCATATTTCATAATAACTCTATAGTCATATAGCACAGATCTATTAGCTACACGCATTGCTTTGCTTAACATAATTAAAATATGTATTTTATATGCAAATAATGTATCGGCATAAACATTATGATGACGATGAACATACACTATTTCATATTCATGGTATATGGCTGACTGGCAAGTGGCTTGTGTGGTTATTTTAGTAGGCTAACGTTATATGGTGGCTAGCTAGCTATAGGCTACCTGTGTTGCTCCTTCCCTGACACATGTGCAACTCCCGGCTGAAGGGATAGAGTTGAGTCTGAGGGTCGGTGATGCAGCCTCTCCTCTCTCTCTGTGTCTCTGCTGCACGTAGACTTATCAGCCAACCAGACTGGATTTGATTATGTAAAGCAGCAAGTTAGCAGGTCACTCACATTGTTAAACTGCTCAATTATGCTGCTGTGGCAGTGGTACTGATATTTAAACTAGCTAGGTACATTCTTAGAAAAAAAGGTTCTCCCGATAGGTGAACCCTTTTTGGTTCCAGGTATAACCCTTTTTGGTTCCAGGTATAACCCTTTTTGGTTCCAGGTAGAACTCTTTTGGGTTCCATGTAGAAACATCTGTGTAAAGGGTTCTACATGGAACTCAAAAAGGTTCTACCTGGAACCAAAAGGGTTCTACCTGGATCCAAAAAGGGTTCTTCAAAGGGTTATCCTATGAGGACTGCCGAAGAACCCTTTTAGGTTCTACATAGCACCTTTTTTTCTAAGAGTGTAGCTAGCTATACACTCAACTCGACCGGTGACCACGGGCGGCCAATTTAACGACGACTTGCAGGCAGTGGGTTCAGATCAGAAAAACAACGACAAAACTGTTTTGGGGAAAGTATACCAACATACAAAAGGGCACTTTGGAGACTGGAAGTGCAAAGGGGCAGGTGCTCTGCACAGGTAGAGCACTATCTGTGCACGTGCCTGGGTGGTTGAGATGGTGTTGGCCACAGACATGGCCTGTTCCTCTCTCTAACCTACCTCTAACCTGTCTGTCTGTCTGCTCCTCTTTCTAACCTACTGTACCTCTAACCTCTCTGTCCGTCTGTCTATCTGTCTGTCTGTCTGTCTGCTCCTATCTCTAACCTACCTCTAACCTGTCTGTCTTTCCACTCCTCTCTCTAACCTGTCTGTCTGAACTCTCTTTAATCTACCTCTATCATGTCTGTCCATCTGTCTGTCTGATCCTCTCTCTAACATGTCTGTATGTCTCCCCCTCTCGTAGAGAGCTACGGGCCCTGGTGGTAGAGATGGTACTGGCCACAGACATGTCCTGTCACTTCCAACAGATCAAGGCCATGAAGAACTTCCTCCAACAGCCAGAGGCGTGAGTGACTCTTATTTAACTCTATAATTACCTAGACAAATAAATCTAAAATAGCACCCTGTTCATTGTAGTAGACCATAGTGCCAGTTCAGATTGGCCCCAACACTCATTACTCCCCACACATTTGTCCTAAACCATAGCCTGCCCTACCATAAATGCACTAATTGATACCAAAAATACAATAACCCCAAGCTGCTGTCTCTCTGATCAAATATCCAACAGCCCAATATTGCTGAGACGTGTATGTTGTTTTCTTAGACTCCTGACTTCTGTTATAGTCTCTCTGGACTCTTGTTCCTTGCATTTATGATATATTATTTTCAATCTTCTCTGCTCTATACTGTTTTACTCTGAAGGATTCTCAAGCCCAAGGCCTTATCACTGATCCTGCACACAGCTGATATCAGCCACCCGGCCAAGAACTGGGATCTGCACCACAGGTGGACCACATCACTCCTGGAAGAGTTCTTCAGACAGGTCAGTCTATACTAACCCCTTACCCCAGACCTCTAACCCCTAAACCCTGACCCCTAACACCTAAACCCTAACCATCACTGGACCACCAGTAGGAGTGCTGATCTAGATCAGGGGGACCTGATCCAAGATCAGCACTCCTACTCTGAGAGGCTTCATGAATATAATAATATGCCATTTAGCAGACGTTTTTATCCAAAGCGATTTACAGTCATGCGTGCATACATTTTTGTGTATGGGTGGTCCCGGGGATCGAACCCACTACCCTGGCGTTACAAGCGCTGTGCTCTACCAGCTGAGCTACAGAGGACCCTGGTCAGATAGGTGTGGGACAAAGTCCAGTCTGCCAAGTCAGATACGTAGTGCTGGCATCTTCCTAATCCTACTACCTTCCCAAATAAAACAGTGTGATAATCCCAATATTTTAATCCTAATCTGGTCTCGTTTTCATTCCTTCCTTGCTCAACACTAATCCCATGAATCTGATACTAGACTACCACTCCTCTCGCACTCTCACAGACAAGAAGCAGATCTCAAAATAGCGAAACCTGAAAAATCAGGTTTTAGAGTCATTATTTATAAGAGATATTGGATGGTAATTTCACAAGGTATTTCACAAGGACATCCAATTTCTTTAAACAAAAGGAGGACATTACTCTTTATGAATTGCATAAATTACATCTGTGATCATTATGAATATAAAGTGACAATGAGTAATATAGCTGTTCTTGAAAATTCTAAAAATATTTATAAAATGGAATGAATTATAAAATTGCATTGGATATTAACAAGTGCATGAAGAGACACCCCAGTGAATTTTCTACCCGGAGTCAACCCGATTTTCTATTAGGTGTGATTTTAAAGTAGGATATCCTCCCCATTACCATTACAGGCTAATTAACGCCTCACTCTGTTCTGTGAAAATGAAATTAGCCAGTAGTGTGTGGACTCTTTCTAGAACTTGAACAAATTCTGCGTCCCATAGGCCTCTGGTCAAAAGTAGGGCATTACATAGGGAATAGGAGGGTGCCATTTGGAACGGACTCATGGTGAAATGTAATCAGTTCATTCCCAGGTGCTGCTCCACTAATCATATTAATAGAAATGTCAAGTACAATGAATGACCAGGACATACCAATCATTTTTTACCATACATAGATTTATTTGTCTTAAATTGGCTCCTTTGATGTTGTTCAACAGTACTGGGAGATAGAAGTAGAGTGGAGAGAACAAAGTGGGGTGTAATTATCTAGGATAGAGGCTGTTTAACATTCAAATGACAGTTGTTGTTTTTTTCTCTCTGCTGGGGACAGTAATAAATACCCCTACTGAGGGTTGCAAAGTTCCTCAAAATTCCCAATTTTTCCAGAAATCCTGGTAAGGGAATTACGGATTTACTGCTTATTCCGTTCTGATTCCGGGAATGTTCCAACTGGGATTTCTGGAAAACCTGGTCATTTTGGGAAAGTTACTGGAATTTTGGAAAGCCTACCTCTACCCCATCTCTTTGATATGAAGTGCACTTACACTGTCAGAGACTGCATTCTTCCATGCATAAAGACTCAGAAGCAGTGTTCACAGTGGTCATGTCGTGTTCTCAGGGGGATAAAGAAGCAGAGCTGGGCCTGCCCTTCTCTCCTCTGTGTGACCGCAAGTCAACCATGGTGGCCCAGTCTCAAATCGGTGAGTCAGTGTAACATTGTTGTATACACAGTTCTATATAGAGAGATAAATCAGTAGATAGATAGATAGATAGATATATCGATAGATATATACACTACCGTTCAAAAGTTTGGGGTCACTTAGAAATGTCCTTGTTTTCGAAAGAAAAGCAATTTTTTTGTTCATTAAAATAACATCAAATTGATCAGAAACACATTGTAGACATTGTTAATGTTGTAAATGGCTATTGTAGCCGGAAACGGCAGATTTTTAATGGAATATCTACATAGGCGTACAGAGGCCCATTATCAGCAACCATCAGTCCTGTCTTCCAATGGCACGTTGTGTTTGCTAATCCAAGTTTATTATTTTAAAAGGCAAATTGATCATTAGAAAACCCTTTTGCAATTATGTTAGCACAGCTGAAAACTGTTGTGCTGATTAAAGAAGCAATAAAACTGGCCTTCTTGAGACTAGTTGAGTATCTGGAGCATCAGCAATTGTGAGTTCGATTACAGGCTCAAAATGGCCAGAAACAAATAACTTTCTTCTGAAACTCGTCAGTCTATTCTTGTTCTGAGAAATGAAGGCTATTCCATGTGAGAAATTGCCAAGAAACTGAAGATCTCGTACAAGCATGTGTACTACTCCCTTCACAGAACAGCGCAAACTGGCTCTAACCAGAATAGAAAGAGGAGTGGGAGCACAACTGAGCTAGAGGAGTGCCCCGGTGCACAACTGAGCTAGAGGACAAATACATTTTGTGTCTAGTTTGAGAAACAAGCGCCCACAGGTCCTCAACTGGCAGCTTCATTAAATAGTACCCGCAAAACACCAGTTTCAACGTCAACAGTGAAAAGGCGACTCCGGGATGCTGACCTTCTAGGCAGAGTTGCAAAGAAAAGCCACATCTCAGACTGCCCATCTTAATCTTTTATTTTTATTGGCCAGTCTGAGATATGGCTTTTTCTTTGCAGCTCTGCCTAGAAGGTCAGCATCCCAGAGTTGCCTCTTCACTGTTGACGTTGAGACTGGTGTTGAGACAGGAATAGCCTTCATTTCTCAGAACAAGAATAGACTGACGAGTTTCAGAAAAAGTTATTTGTTTCTGGCCATTTTGAGCCTGTAATCGAACGCACAATTGCTGATGCTCCAGATACTCAACTATCTCAAGAAGGCCAGTTTTATTGCTTCTTTAATCAGCACAACAGTTTTCAGCTGTGCTAACATAATTGCAAAAGGGATTTCTAATGATCAATTATCCTTTTAAAATGATAAACTTGGATTAGCAAGCACAACATCCATTGGAACACAGGACTGATGGTTGCTGATAATGGGCCTCTGTACGCCTTTGTAGATTTTCCATAAAAAATCAACCATTTCCAGCTACAATAGCCATTTACAACATTAACAATGTCTACACTGTACTTCTGATCAATTTGATGTTATTTTAATGGACAAAAAAATTGCTTTTCTTTCGAATACAAGGACATTTCTAAGTGACCCCAAACTTTTGAACGGTAGTGTATATAGATAGATACATAGATAGATCTCAGTGGTTCTATATGTCTCTCATTCCCTCAGGCTTTATTGATTTCATCGTGGAGCCCACGTTCACAGTCCTCTCAGACATGACAGAGAAGATTGTGACGCCACTGATCGACGAGGCGTCTCGTTCCGGCCTCGCTGGGTTCAGACGCTCCAGGTGACACTGTCAACACACTGACCTTATTACACACACACACACACACACATACACACACACACACACACACACACACATTCCAAAATGTGATATATCCATTTTTAGAAATGCTTGCAAATTAACGTTAATTAAAAATACATATTGTGAAACAGATAGAGCTATTATTTTTTTCATCTTACCATGACATGTGTTAGTGAAAAGACAAAGATGATGGGGCTCCCAAGTTGTGCAGCGGTCTAAGGTACTGCATCGCAGTGCTAGAGGCGTCACTACAGACCCTGGTTCGATCCCGGGCTGTATCACAACCGGCCGTGTTCGGGAGTCCCATAGGACGTTGCACAATTGGGTTAGGGGAGGGTTTGGCCGGGGGGGCTTTACTTGGCTCATCGCGCTCTTGTAACTCCTTGTGGTGGGCCGGGCGCCTGCAGGCTGACCTCGGTCCTCAGGTGAACGGTGTTTCCTCCGACACTGGTTAAGCAGGTGGGTGTTAAGAAGCGCGGTTTGGCAGGTCATGTTTCGGAGGACGCATGACTCGACCTTCGCCTCCCGAGCCCGTTGGGGAGTTGCAGCGATGAGTCAAGATCGAAAAAGGGGGTAAAAATAACAGAGCTCCAATAGAAAAAGTATCCAGATTGGGTTTTAAACAGTTATGTGTAATAAAGTATCAATATCTAAATAAATATTAAAATAATCAATTTGTTTCAACTATATTGTGCATATAGCCTATCCAGAGGTTGTATCCAGAACAGTGTATACAATGTGTGTTTTCTTTTTGGACATTTAAGCAACTCACATTTTTAAGTGTCATGTAGGCTAAATGCATCATAATGCTCTTTCTGTTAACGGGAGCTAACATGGCTGCCATAGAATGTTGTAGCAAAGATTTTTATATCCAACACAATGGGGGCAAATGAATCATAGTGGGCAGAACACACAAGGAGGTGGGCAGAGCCAAGCACGAGCTAGCGAGAGCCTATTGGCGCGTTCTAGTATGTATTTGCATATTTCCGTTAGGGAACGCCTACTCTGTGGCACGTGTGGAATAACTCAATTCGCCCTTGCACTCCCTCTAAACAACGCAACTTTTAGAAACTTTTGTAAAGGGTAAAGTCTACAAAACTTAGTCCACTCTGTTCGTAGCAGATTTTAGTTTTGGAAACTGTATGGAAATTATATTGAGATCAAATGTTTCATTGACGAGAAAATTAGCAGAATGTCGGCCAAAATCCATCTCGCTCCATCTTCTCCCACTGCCACTGCCGGCCACTGGGCTTCCTCTCACCACCATATTTGGTAGTGAGTGGAAACCCCAACCAGATACTTCACATTTATACATCCGGTGATGTATATCTGTCTCATTGTTCTAACTGTGGTTGTAGTGTTGTGTAAATGCATCATAATGCAGAAACCTCAATGTCCCAACTCTCTTGAAACTCTAAACACATGACACTGGAAGTAGCGTGTTTTGGTAAGAAACAAGTGCGTTGGATGTTTTGCAAAAAAACACATTCTAAAGCACATCTAAAGTAAAGGTTTGAAAAGCATGAAAACAGCCATAATTCATGCACATAAAAAGGGACCCATGAACATTCATTTCAGATGAAAAAATTTAAATGTGAAAAATGTGTGTTTATTATGTTTTGGAATCAAACCCTTCATATATGGATCACATGTATTGGTCTAGTGAGTGATGTTGATGATATATTGCATGCTCATCTCATGTCTTGGTGAATCTATAACATAATTTATAACCTCATCCTTTATATGACTCCTGGGGAGATGAAATAAACATGGAAAAACATACATTGACACATCAGAGACTGGGCTGTTCATCAGACACAGATTGCATCCCAAATAGCACCCTATTCCCTACATACTGTAGTGCACTACTTTTGATCTGAGCCCTATGGGCCCTGGTAAAAAGTAGTGCACTATGTAGGGAATAGGGTGCTATTTGGGATGTGGACGCAGTGATGCTCTAAAAATAACAAGCCGGGGGTCCTCCAGTCGTCTGTCTAATGATAACTAAATGAAGCTGAACAACATGTCAGCTGGTATGAGTAATTATAATCTGATTTCCTGCCTAAGGCTCTATGGCTGTGTCTCCACTGACTGGTCTCTGTCACGTATGGCTGTGTGTGTGTGTGTGTGTGTGTGTGTGTGTGTGTGTGTGTGTGTGTGTGTGTGTGTGTGTGTGCCGGTGCACATGAGTGTGTAAGTGGTTGATAATAATACAATAAAATACTTCTCATCATGCGAAGGTGTGTTAGTAGTCTTATGGCTGTACACATCAGCTGTAGTTTCCTCAAATGAATTGCTCCTTTTCATCGCTGTTGAAGTCAGGCTGAGTGAGACACACTAAGAGTCAACAGACCCATTAAGAGAGACAGTGTTGTCAGTTAGAATTGAAGAAATGGTCTGGGATAATACGTGCATGGTGACTAGGTGACAGCCAGTGTCTGGTGGTTGAAGAGGACAGGCTGATTGTAGCACTTAGTAATCCATCTCTCTATTCTACTCTCTAATGGTCATCCATTATGTTTTTATCATGCCAACACTGCATTGTGCCATTTATTCACACACTGATGGGCCTCATGCTGAACCCAGATCAGCTCTTAACATTTCCATAGAGTCTAAAGATTGGAGGAACACAATGACTGACCACATTTACTCAGTCATTACAGTTTTAACACACATTTTCACACACACACACGCACACACCACTTCCACCGCACATGTGTAAATAACTACTATAATTACTTATATTTATTATTTGTCTCTTCTTTTTTACTGGATGCTTGTATTATCTTTCTTACTAGATTTTTTATTTAATACTTTTTTTATATTTTGTTTTAGTTGCTGTACTGAGCGGAGAGCTGGCAAGTAAGCATGTCATTGTACTTTGATTTGATTTGACAATAACACACATGCTCTTTCACACTTGCTTGCACACACACACACACACACACACACACACACACACAAACATCAAAACAGGCCTGACAACATCAGCTGGGATCAACAACTGTCCTGCTGCTACATAAACAAAGTCATGCCATCATCATCAACAGAATAGAAGGATTATAAACATTACTTAGAACGCTCATACATCCCTCCATCTTCCTCCTCACCCCTGATCTCTCTCTCTCTCTCTCTCTCTCTCTCTCTCTCTCTCTCTCTCTCTCTCTCTCTCTCTCTCTCTCTCTCTCTCTCTCTCTCTCTCTCTCTCTCTCTCTCTCTCTCTCTCTCTCTCTCTCGCTCGATCACTCTCTCTTCTCCGAGGCATATCTGGATAAAGAGGCTTAAACACTTCCTCACTTTCTTTCTCTGTCGTACACAAACAGTCATTCACACACACACACACACACAAACACACACGCACATTAGCTGTAAAGTGGTTGTAATGACGTCATTCCAACCAGCTTTGCCCGCTAGACACACACTTGCAGATTGTGTTTGCAAACAGCCACATCTGTCCACCTCCTCTTGTTACTTCAGCCTCTGCAACCCAGTCCATCTCTCCACCTCCTCTTGTTACTTCAGCCTCTGCAACCCAGTCCATCTCTCCACCTCCTCTTGTTACCTCAACCTCTGCAACCCAGTCCATTTGTCCACCTCCTCTTGTTACCTCAGCCTCTGCAACCCAGTCCATCTGTCCACCTCCTCTTGTTACCTCAGCCTCTGCAACCCAGTCCATCTGTCCATGTACAGTTGAAGTTGGAAGTTTACATACACCTTAGCAAATACATTTAAACTCAGTTTTTCACAATTCCTGACATTTAATCCTTGTACAAATTCCCTGTCTTAGGTCAGTTTGGATCACCACTTTATTTTAAGAATGTGAAATGTCAGAATAATAGTAGAGAGAATGATTTATTTCAGCTTTTACTTCTTTCATCACATTCCCAGTGGGTCAGAAGTTTACATACACTCAATTAGTATTCGGTAGCATTGCCTTTAAATTGTTTAACTTGGGTCAAACGTTTCGGGTAGCCTTCCACAAGCTTCCCACAATAAGTTGGGTGAATTTTGGCCCATTCCTCCTGACAGAGCTGGTGTAACTGAGTCAGGTTTGTAGGCCTCCTTGCTCGCACACGCTTTTTCAGTTCTGCCCACAAAATGTCTGTAGGATTGAGATCAGGGCTTTGTGATGGCCATTTTGCCACAACTTTGGAAGTATGCTTGGGGTCATTGTCCATTTGGAAGACCCATTTGCGACCAAGCTTTAACTTCCTGACTGCTTGCAAGCGCCCCCCTTTTTCCTCCAAACATAACGATGGTCATTATGGCCAAACAGTTCTATTTTTGTTTCATCAGACCAGAGGACATTTCTCCAAAAAGTAGGATCTTTGTCACCATTTGCAGTTGCAAACCGTAGTCTGGCTTTTTTATGGCGGTTTTGGAGCGGTTGCTGAGCGGCCTTTCAGGTTATGTCGATATAGGACTCGTTTTACTGTGGATATAGATACTTTTGTACCTGTTTCCTCCAGCATCTTCACAAGGTCCTTTGCTGTTGTTCTGGGATTGATTTGCACTTTTCGCACCAAAGTACGTTCATCCTGAGCGGGATGACGGCTGCGTGGTCCCATGGTGTTTATACTTGCGTACTATTGTTTGTACAGATGAACGTGGTACCTACAGGCGTTTTGAAATTGCTCCCAAGGATGAACCAGACATGTGGAGGTCTAAAAATTTTTTTCTGAGGTCTTGGCTGATTTATTTTGATTTTCCCATGATGTCAAGCAAAGAGGCACTAAGTTTGAAGGTAGGCCTTGAAATACATCCACAGGTACACCTCCAATTGACTCAAATGATGTCAATTAGCCTATCAGAAGCTTTTAATGCCATGACATAATTTTCTGGAATTTCCCAAGCTGTTTAAAGGCACAGTCAACTTAGTTTATGTAAACTTCTGACCCACTGGAATTTTGATACAGTGAATTTTAAGTTAAATAATCTGTCTCTAAACAATTGTTGGAAATATTACTTGTGTCATGCACAAAGTAGATGTCCTAACCGACTTGCCAAAACTATAGTTTGTTAACAAGAAATGTGTGGAGTGGTTGAAAAACGAGTTTTAATGACTCCAACCTAAGTGTATGTAAACTTCCGACTTCAACTGTAGATAATGCTCATTATAGTGGAACTAGAATCACTGGGCTGTAAACCCTCATTTCCTCAATGTATTAAATTGAGTTTTTTCAGTTCAGACATCCATTAGGCATGGCTGTGATGTCCAATCTCATGTAGAGATTGGAGACCTCTGTAGAATCTCAATAGTTCATTATGTTGTTTGGTGTATGATAGGTCACAGGAGTGGACCACAATCGTGGGTTCAATTCCTGCAGCGATCATATACAATGTATGCAACCACTGTTCTGTGGTTTAAGTCACTGTGGAATAAAGTGTCAGCTGTGGCCATATTTACAGTAGGTGTGTAAGGTGTGTGTTACAGGCCAGGTGTATGACATTCTCTATCTCTCTGTGTGTACAGTCTGAACAGTATTCCAGTGGGGGATGGGAAGCGGTCCAGTGTGATCAGTACAGGCTCAGAGGGCAGTGGAACACTCAACTGTTCCCCGGGAACCGTCGACTATAAGGGCTTCAAGGCCACCTGGAATGAAGAGGTGCACCAGAACAGAGAGAAATGGAAGACCCAGGCTGCTAAAGGTACACTGGGGCCCCTCAACCCCTCACAGGGAAGGGTCTGGCAGGGTTGGTGGGTTGGGGAATAGGGTATGAGACAGAATGAGGAGGATGAGAAGTGGAAGACCCAGGAGGCTAAAGGTACAGAAGAGCCCCAGACAGGGGAGGGGTTAGTCAGGAGGGTTGGGTCCTGGTACAAAGAGGTGCACCAGAACCGAGAGAAATGGAGACCCAGGAGACTAAAGGTAAAGCAAAACAGAAAATAGGTGGGTTATGGGAAGGATCAGTCCAAGGCCATGAGGTGGAAGTATTGTCATTCTTAGGACAAGAGGCAATGAAGACCGAAGCAGCTAAGATCTACAGTAGAAACAATACTCAATGAAGACCCAAGCAGCTGAGATCTACAGTAGAAACTCTACTCAGTGAAGACCCAAGCAGCTGAGATCTACAGTAGAAACCCTACGCAGGAAAGGGCTTGGCTGGAGGGTGGGTGGGTTAGGGAGTATGTGGAGTAGGGCTCTTTCACACATACAAAATATATTTTTGTTCTGACAGATCTGGAGGAGAAAACCAAAAGGGAAGCAGAGGAGAAGGCTTCGCAGGAGGGGACAGAGGAGGGGAAAGAGTCTGGAACGACAGAAGAGAAGGAGGAAAAGAAAGCGAGGGATGAAGAAGGTACACAAGCAGGGGGAGAGAAAAAGGAAGCGGGGGAGGAAGTGCCCAAAGAGGAGGAAGGGAACATGGACCCAGGGGGGACCGTCGGGACCACACCAACAACATCAGGACCGGGACCAGGGCTGAACCACTTGGACCCCAAGGAGCCTGAAAGCAGCAGCACCAGCACAGAGAAAAACCAGCAAGTTCAAAACGGTATGTGTTAGTTTACATTCAGTTACAGGCTCATACAGATATACTCTCTATTTATAATACTTGGTTTAAAGAAGTTGTGAACAGCATCAACTTAAAGTGCCAAGTAGTGATTAGAATATGGAGGACCCAAAGTTTGAGTCAATTTGTCTGGTGGTCTTTTTGGTGCTGTCAAACTGTTATTGCTGTTGCTTCAGAAATGATAGCGGAAGCTAAAGTTCTTACTGAATCCTTGGCTGCTCTCCTGATGGTTTAGTTGTAAAAGAGTGCCCTCTGCTGGTCAATTATGCATGTAAAATGATTTTGAAATTGTATTTTGAAACTGTTTTCATGTCCTTTGAAGTGTCGACATTTGTGACTACTATGAACATGTCACTTCCTTATTCTCTTCAAGTCTGTATTTTATATTTTCTTTAATCAGTGTTGTCTATCTGGGGGATGTGTGAGGCATCTAGTGGACAGTGAACCCCTGGTCTGGATTGTGTGGGGGGATTGTGATGGTTGGTGACGGTTTTTATTTGACTCCAGGGGAAGTACCAGAGGAGCTAGACTCACCTGACACTGACTCTGGCTCTGATGATGAAAGTGAGAAAAACACCTCTGACGGTAAAACACCATTTACTTTCTCCTCAGGGCGAACCTTAGCTACGTTTCCATAATCAAATACATGTCTCCTCTTCTTAAAGCAAAGAGAAGAAAAAAAACAGTTTTGGTTATGACAAGGTATGCAAAAAACACATTAAAACATTGTAGTTTGGTCCTGCAATTCGAGTTTCTATGATGTGAACGGTGTACATATTAGGACAGCACCACACAGGACTATGACTGACTCTCTTGTGGAAACGTGTCTAATGTCACTCACACCCTCACTCACCCCGCCATCCTCCACCACTTCCTCCCTCTCAAAGGCAACCTCTTTCTATCATTTCTTTCTTCTATCCCTTCCCCTGAGTCTGTCATTCACGTTACTATTGTGACAGTGTGTTCATTGATCGTTATCTACAGTCTTGTTCAATCCTGACAGGGACTTTGTCATTGTCCCTCTATACATAACATGTTCTTTTTTTATAAGACTTATCTCTGAAACTCAAAGCTATTCTTCAGAGCAAACACAATCCCTCTCATTTAGCTGTTAACACCCTTTGACAACTGACTCTCAAAACCATCACCCCCAGCCTCAGTTACGAAACTGACCATGTACCAATTTTTGGGTCATAATGTCCTTTCATTTCGGTAGACTTCCCGAGCGTAGATGTTGCTGACGCCTGACAGATCTTACAACACCTGGATAGGTATTTAAGTATCAGCTAACCACATCTGTTAAAGAAATGTGTCAGTCGATGACACAGTCGATGACGTGGCACGCAACCATTGGTTGTTGCGTCGCCTCGCCTTAGCTATGGAACACGGCCTATATTGTCTTCAACCCCTCCCCCTCCCCAGCATGCCATGCAGCGGTCCAGGAGACCAGGAAGTTGGAGCAGGAAGTTTTAAGTGTGCCATATGTCCTCTTCCCCTCCCACAGATAAAGAAGAGGAGGACTCTGACGACAGTAACCATGACAGTTTACCTGCGTCTTTAGCGGCTGCAGCAGTGGTGGCTGCTCCTACGTCCAATCTAAACTAACCGCCCATTCAGTTCCCCAACAAAGACTTCATTTACCAGGGGACACCTCTATCTCTCTCTCTTTCTCTCTCTTTCTCTCTCTCTCTCTCTCTCTCTCTCTCTCTCTCTCTCTCTCTCTCTCTCTCTCTCTCTCTCTCTCTCTCTCTCTCTCTCTGTCTAATGTTCCAGATTGCCCTCTGCTGGATGTGTACTGCTTTTATTTTTGTTTATTTATTTTTTAACACCACACTCTTCGAAAAAAAGGTGCAATCGAGAACCTAAAAGGGTTCTTCGGCTGTCCCCATAGGAGAACCCTTTGAATAACCATTTGTGGTTTCACGTGGAATGCTTTTGGTTCCAGGTAGAACCATTTTGGGTTCCATGTAGAACCCTTTCCACAGAGGGTTCTACATGGAACCCAAAAGCGTTCTACCTGGAACCAAAAAGGGTCCTACCTGGAACCAAAAAGGGTTCTTCTATCTATGGGGACAGCCGAAGAACCCTTTCGGAACCCTTTTTTCTAAGAGTATAGTTCCACTTGTCTCTGTCTCTGGTGGAATCCTGCTTTTCCGTCCATTTTTTTCTCCCAAATCAAAGCTTAACTTGCCAGTCCATGTGTTACCATGGCAAATGGCAGGTGCTGGTTTCCCATTAGCCCAAACATTTCAACCTTTGCCATTTCCTGAGCCATGATGGACTTATAGGCTCTTTCTTCCACCTGGAGAGGAGCAGGCACATGCACAGGCTGGCACATGAGAGGGTAAGGCCAAAGGACAGGACAGTGTTGCCCTGTGTTGCCCTGGCCTCCACACTAGCTAGGCCCTTCCAGAGGAGCTTTCAGTTGGCTCTGTGTAGCTTCCTCTGCTCCTACTCATCACTGCACACTTCTGGTTGGCATTTGGACCTTCAGACCTCTCTGTGTTTGTACAGTATGTGCATCTGTGTGTGTCGGGCAAAATGTAAACAAGGTCGAATCTAAGAAGGATGTTGAACGAATGGCGAATCTACATACAACTATTATTATTATTTAAACAGTGTAATTAATGAATAAAGTACAACGACATTTGTCTTGTTTATATTGCATACGTAAAATATATAAGATAAACGATTGTTAGATTTGTTTTGCTTTTACATTTCATTTTGCAACTAGAATGCACTTTCTAACTAGCACACATTAAAATAAAGTGAAATGAAGTCATGATTACCCTCTATCATACAATCTAAATAGGAAATCTGAAACGTATTGGCTTAGTCATTGAAACGTCTTCTTATAGAGAAATCACACATATTTAGTAATACTAAGAAACAATATTGTGTACAGTAATGTATATAAATATAATGATGTATTGTGTTGACCTATGATTCTCCAGCGTTAGAATTCCCATATGTTTATTGTAAATCTAAAGAAAAAAGTAACTATGTCCAGAGAACCATGATTGATTCAAGTTGTCTCTAAATAGTATGTTATGTTATTCTTTTTACTATGTACTGTAGGTGATTTATGTTTCCGCAGTGCAGGTTTGATTGATTTCCAACCTTCAAAACGTTATTGGGATGACATCATACGACTGTTATTAAGGCAGGCACCACAACCATGTTAATTTTACTGGGCGGGGAAATCAACCGTTTATAACATGTTACAATGCCAAAATATACTGTATATGTGTGCTTAGGTTTTGTTGCTTACTTTTCCTCTAGTTCTGGGCATTTCTAGCTAGGCGAGTTTCCTGGTTGCCACGGTTGCCAGTTGTATTTTTGAGTATAATATGTATTTATTGAACATAACATTTACATTTTATTTATGAATTATTGTGTATAGTTATAATTTTGAACATCTTAATGTAGTCAACAGAGATAAGTAACATGTTTCTAAGACTGAATCTGTGCTCCCCCAATGACATGGATGAGTGGGTTAATGTATTATTATTTCAAAGTAGTGTGAATTTATCATTATGAGTTGGTTATTTATGCTTCAACTTCAATTCCAGGACTTCTTCTGACTTTGCTTTAAGACACTGTCGCTCAACACAATTTCCTCAAGTCTTTCTTTATCAAATGCATTGCGGCATACAAAGCAGGAGATTTTTCCAATATGTGGATAAGAATTGGGTTGAGAGAGTCAGTTCAGTTCCCACTCAACGTTCAACTGTGATGTGAGAACTTTGTTGAACAAACATGGAATCTGATTGATCCATCTTGATTTACTAATACATACGTTTTCTAAAAATCATTCACAGCATGTAAATATAATTTACTTTTTTGTGTTCAAAAATCAATTTGCCATTAACATAATTATTATATCAAACAAATAAATAACACAGAAAACTAAACAAACAGAACAAACACTAGGTTACTACACGTCATGAAATGTAGAAAGTAAATAATCAAAATATTGAATGTTGTGTTCAAGAAGCAGACTTATAGTACATGTACAGTACAGTATTGACTGGGTCATCTTTGGGGTTTTCCAAAATGGCCTCAAGGTTCACTGTGTAGAAATTCCTGTTGCCTTGACCAAAGATAGAAAAACAACAGATTATACAGTTGGAAGTTTACATACACCTTAGCCAAATACATTTAAACTCAGTTTTTCACAATTCCTGACATTTAATCCTAGTAGAAATTCCCTGTCTTAGGTCAGTTAGGATCACCACTTTATTTTAAGAATGTGAAATGTCAGAATAATAGTAGAGAGAATGATTTATTTCAGCTTTTAATTCCCAGTGGGTCAGAAGTTTACATACACTCAATTAGTATTTGGTAGCAATGCATTTAAATTGTTTAACTTGGGTCAAACATTTTGGGTAGCCTTCCACAAGCTTCCCACAATAAGTTGGGTGAATTTTGGCCCACTCCTCCTGACAGAGCTGGTGTAACTGAGTCAGGTTTGTAGGCCTCCTTGCTCGCACAGGCTTTTTCAGTTCTGCCCACAAATTGTCTATAGGATTGAGGTCAAGGCTTTGTGATGGCCACTCCAATATCTTGACTTTGTTGTCCTTAAGCCATTTTGCCACAACTTTGGAAGTATGCTTGGGGTCATTGTCCATTTGGAAGACCCATTTGCGACCAAGCTTTAACTTCCTGACTGATGTCTTGAGATGTTGCTTCAATATATCCACATAATTTTCCTTCCTCATGATGCCATCTATTTTGTGAAGTGCACCAGTCCCTCCTGCAGCAAAGCAACCCCACAGCATGATGCTGCCATCCCCGTGCTTCACGGTTGGGATGGTGTTCTTCTGCTTGCAAGCGCCCCCCTTTTTCCTCCAAACATAACAATGGTCATTATGGCCAGAGGACCAGAGGACATTTCTCCAAAAAGTACGAACTTTGTCCCCATTTGCAGTTGCAAACCGTAGGCTGGCTTTTTTATGGCCGTTTTGGAGCAGTGGATTCTTCCTTGCTGAGCGGCCTTTCAGGTTATGTTGATATAGGACTTGTTTTACTGTGGATATAGATACTTTTGTACTTGTTTCCTCCAGCATCTTCACAAGGTCCTTTGTTGTTGTTCTGGGATTGCACTTTTCGCATCAAAGTACGTTCATCTCTAGGAGACAGAATGCATCTCCTTCCTGAGCGGTATGACGGCTGTGTGGTCCCATGGTGTTTATACTTGCATACTATTGTTTGTACAGATGAACGTGGTACCTTCAGTCGTTTGGAAATTGCTCCCAAGGATGAACCAGACTTGTGGAGGTGTACACTTTTTTTTCTGAGGTCTTGGCTGATTTCTTTTGATTTTCCCATGATGTCAAGCAAAGAGGCACAGAGTTTGAAGGTAGGCCTTGAAATACATCCACAGGTACACCTCCAATTGACTCAAATGATGTCAATTAGCCTATCAGAAGCTTCTAAAGCCATTACATAATTTTCTGGAATTTTCCAAGCTGTTTAAAGGCACAGTCAACTTAGTGTATGTAAACTTCTGACCCACTGGAATTGTGATACAGTGAATTATAAGTGAAATAATCTGTCTGTAAACAATTGTTGGAAAAATGACTTGTGTCATGCACAAAGTAGATGTCCTAACCGTCTTGACAAAAATGATAGTTTGTTAACAAAAAATGTGTGGAGTGGTTGAAAAACGAGTTTTAATGACTCCAACCTAAGTGTATGTAAACTTCAGACTTCACCTGTAGATATCCTATAGTTAAAATAAAACTAATTCTACAAAAGGGTAAATACTTTTGTTAAAGCTACTCAAAATGATTTATTTTTCTCCAGAAGGAAGAATATTTGCCTTAAAATAGATACGTCTTTACTGCTCACTTCAGTGTTGCCCTGTAGAACAGTCTATATGTCTAGCTTGCAAGCTTTTGTGACATCTTTAAGGGCAAGATCTTGTCAGTGTTTAGTGATTGTTGATACTTTGTGGCAGCTATCCCTTTCATGATTTCTAAATGTTGTTTCTTGTCATACAGAGAGATAGGGTCTAATGTATTTTTTTATTTTACCATTACATTTATTTGTATCTGACCGCTACCCTGTGGTACTAGTTCTGTCTTTCAAAATCATACTTAGTCATGCATGTTCACTGGAATGTGGACCTTTGTCATAGTGAAGAATCCCTGAAGAATGTAAAAACATTCGAAACCCATTTTTATGGCCCCATTCTCACGCCTTCATTTATTATTTTATGACATGTAATCTTTGTGAATTGTCTCCTTTTACTTCAACTCAAAACCAGCAATCTCATGCCTTCCTGAAAAAAGCATCATATACTGTCAGATATTTTAATTTATTAAAAAAAACGTAATCGGTCACAATCCTTGCATTGAAAATGATGACACATACCGTGTGTGAATGGTTTAAATGGACACGTGTAAATGAGGAGAAGCTGATAGATTAGTATAGAATCTATAGATCACAGTTTTTTGTGAATTGGTGTGTGAGTGGGTATATGAGGTGCAGTATGCTTCTATGTTCTATTGCTAGGGGTTAGTATAGGTTGATATCGAAATATGACGTTATTGATAACAACCTATTGCCTGTACAGTAAGTTCGAGGCCCACGGTGTAGTAGTGCCAGTATAGTATGTTAGCCATTGTCATTTCTGTGACCCCCACTTTCTCTATGACCAACTAATCAGCAAAACCTGGGATTAAATCACTACGGACGAAACCATGATCATCTTGTATTTTTTGTTGTTGCCATATACAGTGAGGGAAAAAGTATTTGATCCCCTGCTGATTTTGTACGTTTGCCCACTGACAAAGAAATGATCGGTCTATAATTTTAATGGTAGGTTTATTTGAACAGTGAGAGATAGAATAACAACAACAAAATCCAGAAAAACGCATGTCAAAAAGGAGTGCTCCTAATCTCAGTTTGTTACCTGTATAAAACACCTGTCCACAGAAGCAATCAATCAATTAGATTCCAAACTCTCCACCATGAAAAAGACCAAAGAGCTCTCCAAGGATGTCAGGGACAAGATTTTAAACCTACACAAGGCTGGAATGGGCTACAAGACCATCGCCAAGCAGCTTGGTGAGAAGGTGACAACAGTTGGTGCGATTATTTGCAAATGGAAGAAACACAAAATAACTGTCAATCTCCCTCGGCCTGGGGCTCCATGCAAGATCTCACCTTGTGGAGTTGCAATGATCATGAGAACGGTGAGGAATCAGGCCAGAACTACACAGGAGGATCTTGTCAATGATCTCAAGGCAGCTGGGACCATAGTCACCAAGAAAACAATTGGTAACACACTACGCCGTGAAGGACTGAAATCCTGCAGCGCCCGCAATGTCCCCCTGCTCAACAAAGCACATATACAGGCCCGTCTGAAGTTTGCCAATGAACATCTGAATGATTCAGAGGAGAACTGGGTGAACGTGTTGTGGTCAGATGAGACCAAAATCGAGCTCTTTGGCATCAACTCAACTCGCCGTGTTTGGTGGAGGAGGAATGCTGCCTATGACCCCAAGAACAGCATCCCCACCGTCAAACATGGAGGTGGAAACATTATGCTTTGGGGACAGGACAACTTCACCACATCAAAGGGAACTGTTGATTGTACCATCAAATATTGGGTGAGAACCTCCTTCCTTCAGCCAGGGCATTGAAAATGGGTTGTGGATGGGTATTCCAGCATGACAATGACCCAAAACACACGGCCAAGGCAACAAAGGAGTGGCTCAAGAAGAAGCACATTAAGGTCCTGGAGTGGCCTAGCCAGTCTCCAGACCTTAATCCCATAGAAAATCTGTGGAGGGAGCTAAAGGTTCGAGTTGCCAAACGTCAGCCTCGAAACCTTAATGACTTGGAGAAGATCTGCAAAGAGGAGTGGGACAAAATCCCTCCTGAGATGTGTGCAAACCTGGTGGCCAACTACAAGAAACGTCTGACATCTGTGATTGCCAACAAGGGTTTTGCCACCAAGTACTAAGTCATGTTTTGCAGAGGGGTCAAATACTTATTTCCCTCATTAAAATGCAAATCAATTTATAACATTTTTGACATGCGTTTTTCTGGATTTTGGAATTTTAACCTACCATTAAAATTATAGACTGATCATGTCTTTGTCAGTGGGCAAACGTACAAAATCAGCAGGGGATCAAATACTTTTTTCCCTCACTATATCCCCCTTATATCAGTTTTTTTACAGTGCCGTGAAAAAGTATTTGCCCCATGTCTGATTTTCTGTATTATTGCACATTTTCACATTGAATTTGGTCAGATCTTTTTGTGGGTTGTAGTGATATAGTCTGGAAAGGGTTCCAAAGCCAAATCTAAGGCTCTGGGGCTCCACCGAACTGAAGCGCAGCTGGGTCATGCAGCAAGACAATGATCCAAAACACACAAGCAAGTCTACATCAGAATGGTTGAAGAATAAGAAATTGAACGTTTTGGAATGGCCTAGTCAAAGTCCAGACTTAACCCAATTGAGATGTTGTGGCAGGACCTGAAACAAGCAGTTCATGCACAAAAACCCACAAATGAGTTGAAGCAGTTCTGCATGGAGGAGTGGGCCAATATTCCTCCACGGTGCTGTGAGAGACTAATTGATAACTACAGGAAGCATTTGGTCGCAGTTATTGCAGCTAAAGATGGCATAACTAGTTATTGAGTCTAAGGGGGCAATAACTTTTTCACACGGGGCCATTTGGTGTTGCATAACTTTCTTTAATAAATAAATATGTATTGTTTCTTTGTATGTTATTTGTTCACTCAGGGTCCCTTTTATATAATATTAGGTTTTGGTTGAAGATCTGATAACATTCAGTGTCAAAAATATGCAAAAATGCAGAAAATCTGACGGGGCAAATACCTTTTCACAGCACTGTACTATATGTATTTGAAGCCATAACAATGTTAATTTTTTTCTGTGAGTATTGCTTCAAGGTGTTTCATATGGAGCATATTTTTTTGGTAACCATCAAACCGGTTGTCCTCATGTTTTTTCCCCCACTTTTATTTTCTTATTTTGTTTGAATTGAAGATTTTATTGATCACACACCAAGACCAAACTGTGCAGCAGGCCATGTGGTGGTGTTTGTTCCAACGCTACGTTAGTGCACTGTTGTGACAATAAATCTGAACTCAAAGGGCTCAGATCACGACTCAGTGTCTTCATTGTGTCCAGTTTAAAATGTTTTGTAAAACTATTATGTAGTAAGCACACTAAATGTCTGTATTGTCAGTGCTGTATGTGTGAGGTCTAACACCAGCCTACCTATAATAGAACAACCCGTAAAGGTACCCTACAATGGGTTACAACATAATAGAATAAGCAATAGATAGCACCACATCAGATCTGGGTTCAAATACATTAGTATTTTGTTATTTGTTATTTAACTAATTATTTGCTGTGTTTCTGAGTATTTTCAAAGAATGTGGCCCGAATCAACTACTTATATTGTAAGTATTTGAAAGTATTTTCAAATAATTTCCTACAAATAACCTCCTATTTGAAAGTATTTTCAATTACGTATTTCAAGTACTATTTTCAAATGTCTGGGTTTCAAATACATGGGAGTGTATTTGAGTCAGTGTATTTGAGTATTTTCAAATACTTTCCAAGTGCATTTCCAAATACATTCCAGTTTTCAACTACTTGTCTTTAAAAAGAAAAATGTATTTGAAAGTAATTGAAATACCTTGAATAGTATTTGAACCCAGGTCTGCACCACATACCGGTACATACACATATACTGAATCTGCATTTGAAGATACATATGTGACAATGTATAAAATAAAATTTAAAAAATACAACCTTGATGATTGTTTTTCCCTGACAACTGACCTGGTGACCTTTTCTCTTGCAGACTCGTCAGGCTCGGAGGGCTATGACCTGATTCGCTACTACAAGAGACCGAGCTACTGTGCCAACTCTCACCTGGCACTACCCTCCAGAGAGAAAGAGAGGGAGAGGAGACCAGAGGGCAGGCTCATCGACCCCAGGAGCAGAGTCAGGAAGCTTCAGGGCATCTCCCTACGCCGGAGGAAGTGACATCACAAAAAGTGACCTCACAAGAAGTGACATCACAGAAATCTGTAGACATTGCAACCTACGTTGTTCTCACTTATACTTATACTGGCGCCAGCAAGGCAAAGCTGTACCCAGACATTAGATTATTAAATTATGATTTCATATATAGTAGTTAAAAATGAACTGACAGTGTTTTAGAACCATTCAATCTTGTTAAAATATGTTTATATACACCCTCTCTGGATATGGCGCATTTGTTTTCACATTTTGTGACAAGCAAGCATTTTTCAAGTTTTCATGTTTGGGAATGACGTCGTGTCGGGTATTTGTGAAAGTCTATATTAATATGAGTGGGAAAGCGACGGTGCCTTTGGGCAATTAATAGACACTACTGTAAATAAAAAATTTAAAAATGTGTCAGTCTTGTCCAGGTCCAGACACTACACAGACCACCATAACCACCAAAACCAATCTGAGCTACAGTCGGCCTATATGCAAATAAGACATTGCCATACGGGGATTTGCCAATGATGGGATTTAATTACTGCCCCGGGCATGCCCCGCCCCCCCGGGTGAACCGGGTTAGCGTTGATTGCAGTCGATTTGGAACCGGGATGCCTCCCGAGCGTGAGCCAGGTGCCCCGTTCTGTCTGATGGCAAAGTTGGCTGAAAACAAAAGTGACGTAGGTTAACTAGAGTCGAGGCCCGCACAAAAATCGAATTAGCATAATAGAACAATCCCCATCGCAATCTATCTGTTTAAGCTAGATATATCTGCATCCACTGATGTCGGCCTTCTGCCTCTGGTGGGAGGAGCTATAGGAGGACGGGCTCATTGTAATAGCGGGAACGAAATAAATTGGAATGGTATCAAACACATCAAACATATGGAAACCACATGTTTGACTCCGTTCCATTAAAACCATTCCAGCCTTTATAATGAGTCTGTCCTCCTATAGCTCCTCCCACCAGCCTCTTCTGGTCTGTATGGAAGAAACCCCTCTGTTAGTCTAGCTTTAAAGGCACCCACCAGATGTAATTCCTGCCCTAGACAAATATTGTCTATTATATTGACAAGATAGTCAAGTGATCGCTCTTACAATGGAAATACATGTCCTCAAAGATGGAAGACATGTGGGAGGAGGAGAGATCAGTTGCGACCATTCTAGCCAATGAGAGGGCAGATGTGTGTGAATAATTGGCCATAGAGATATATAGAGGACTCATCTTTGTATCTGTGCCATTATAGCGTCTGTGACAGCATATTTTAAAGTAGTACATTTTCTTCTTCATTGGCTGATTGCTCCCAACTAATAGGAATACCCACCCTGTTGGCTACTTAAAAATTGTGGAAGCCCTCAATGGCAATGTCCATGCTAAAGTGGTTAGATCCATGATGAGTCCTCTATATATCTCTATGACAACAGGCACAACTCTGATATTAACAATTTTTTTCAAAGTTGCCTAAATGCCACGTGCGTCCACTTATAACAGTGCATTTGTAACAACCTAACCATTATGAAACTTCTATTAGAACAAATAAGCCTCATGTAGAAAATTAGCAATTAAATTTTATGTTGTCCAAATTTGATACTCTTATTGACCTCCTTACAAAAATTATTCAGTTCGTGGGCTTATTTTCGTAGACAGATTTTGGGCAGATTAAAACCTTTCGCTTTGCCTCTTCCTGTCTGCCCTAGAGCAGAAATACTTGTTTAGGTTCCACCTCTGAAAAATGAGGCAGGCTACTTATACATACAGTGCCTTTGGAAAGTATTCAGTTTTTGACTTTTTCCACATTTTGTTACGTTACAGCCTTATTCTGAAATTGATTAAATAAATACAAATCCTCAGCAATCTACACACAATACCCCATGATGACAAAGCGAAAACAGGTTTTTAGAAATGTTTGCAAATGTATTCAAAATTTAAAAACAGAAATACCTTATTTACATAAGTATTCAGACACTTTGCTATGAGACTTGAAATTCAGCTCAGGTGCATCCTGTTTCCATTGATCATCCTTGAGATGTTTCGACAACTTGATTGGAGTCCACCTGTGGTAAATTCAATTGATTGGACATGATTTGGAAAGGCACACACCTGTCTATATAAGGTCTCACAGTTGACAGTGCATGTCAGAGCAAAAACCAAGCCATGAGGTCACAGGAATTGTCCGTAGAGCGCTGAGACAGGATTGTGTTGAGGCACAGATCTGGGGAAGGGTATCAAAACATTTCTGCAGCACTGAAGGTCCCCAAGAACACATTGGCCTCCATCATTCTTAAATGGAAGAAGTTTGGAACCACAAAGACTCTTCCTAGAGCTGGCCTCCCGGCCAAACTGAGCAATTGGGGAGAAGGGCTTGGTCAGGGAGGTGAGCAAGAACCCGATGGTCACTCTGACATAGCTCCAGAGTTCCTCTGTGGAGATGGGAGAACCTTCCAAAAGGACAATCATCTCTGCAGCACTCCACCAATCAGGCCTTTGTGGTAGAATGGCCAGACAGAAGCCCCACCTCAGTAAAAGGCACATGACATCCTGCTTGGAGTTTGCCAAAAGGCACCTGAAGACTCTCAGACCATGAGAAACAAGATTCTCTGGTCTGATGTTACCAAGATTGAACTCTTTGGCCTGAATGCCAAGCGTCACATCTGGAGGAAAACTGGCACCATCCCTACGGTGAAGCATGGTGGTGGCAGAATCATGCTGTGGGGATGTTTTTCAGCGGCAGGGACTGGGAGACTAGTCAGGATTGAGGCAAAGATGAACAGAGCAAAGTACAGAGAGATCCTTGATGAAAACCTGCTCCAGAGCTCTCAGGACCTCAGACTGGGGCGAAGGTTCACCTTCCAACAGGACAGCAACCCTAAGCACACAGCCAAGACAACGCAGGAGTGGCTTCGGGACAAGTCTCTGAATGTCCTTGAGTGGCCCAGCCAGAGGCCGGACTTAAACCTGATCGAACATCTCTGGAGAGACCTGAAAATAGCTGTGCAGCAACGCTCCCCATCCAACCTGACAGAGCTTGAGAGGATCTGCAGAGAAGAATGGGAGAAACTCCTCAAATACAGGTGTGCCAAGCTTGTAGCGTCATACCCAAGAAGACAATGGGCTGTAATCGCTTCCAAAGGCGCTTCAACAAAGTACTGAGGAAAGGGTCTGAATACTTATGTAAATGTAATATTTCAGGGGTTTTTTTGTGTCAAAAAAATGTCTAAAACCTGTTTTTGCTTATTCATTATGGGGTATTGTGTGTAGATTGATGAGGGGAAAAATACGATTTAATCTATTTTAGAATAAGGCTGTCACCTAAAAAAAATTGGAAAAAGTAAAGGGGTCTGAATACTTTCCGAAGGCACTGTATTTAAGAATTGGGGGTGGGAAAGAACGTCATGGTGATTTCTACGTGGAGAAACAGCTGTGTACATAGCTAGCATGCTAACCTTAGCTATCTAGCTAGCTATCTAGCTAATATTATCTGTTGTTTGCTGTTTTTTTAACTACACCATATTCAAAAGAATAGCCAGCTGGCTAGGCTGGTTCTGGAGCTGGATTTGTCAAAACCATTTAGGAAAAACTTCGCCACAGATCGAAACCAGTAACACTGACTTCACTTTCTATTCTTATCTCCAAAGTTATGGCATCTTCCGTAAGAGATATGCGTTTTTCTACATTGTAATGGCCAAGGTGCAACCTTTGGCTAGATACAGTATATTACCTTGAATGTGTGCATTGACGTTAACATCTTTATACCTTGTTTGTAAATGAAAGGTAACAGCCACACATTGTAGAGCTACTTTTAATAAACAGGTATAGGCTACATATTAACAATTAACGATATGACAACTGAAAACAACAATGTCAACAAAAAAACTGTAGGCAAAAAACTATCTTCCAATGACTTCTAGTTCTTTCCATCCTTCTCATCATCCTCCATGTGAATCATTCTCTTCTCTCCTTTCACCAACCTCAAACCTGATGGAGGCAAATGACGCAACACATATTACAAATAATGGTAACAAATTCATACTGAGAATCTGTTACTACACCAACATCAACTTAAAAGTCCATAATGTACAGAATATCATGCCTTTGCATACATTACTGTCCATGATTTAAGCATAGAGGTTACTTACACATCTTGCTACATTACATCAACATCTTAAGGACAACCACTATTTTACAGTTTAATTCAAGTCTCATTTTGGCTCTGACAGTAACAACAAGAGAGTGAGAGAGAAAGTGTAGAGTGTGACTGACCTGGTATGAGTGGAGGAGTGCTGAGGACTGGCGTGTCTTTCCTGCGTGGTTTCTTCAGTTCCTGCTCATCAGGCTGCTCCTCAGGGTGCACAGCCTCAGGACAGTGTTTCCCCTGCACAGCTCTGGTCATCCCTGTCCCCTCCTCTAGCAGGGTCCTCACGGGCTCCACTATCTGATCTGTCACACAGAAATATAACACATGTATATCTGATGATCTGATGGGCGTTATTTAGACAGTAACTATGAGATATGTGTAGTTTATTACTATTCATGAGTTAATCACAAAAATAGCACAGAAACTTGTGTATTCAAAGGTAGTATTGCGTATTCGATTCCATACAGATATATTGCAGTATGTGGTTGTGTAAGGTGGTGGTATTTCATAGTGTGTGTGTGCGTGCGTGCATATGTGCGTGTGTGAATCTACGCATACGTAATCCCCATCACGAATACACAGAGGCATTGTATGTGACAGTAGGCAGACTTGGCCGATGTCTTACCATCTGTCACTGTGTTGGTTGGTCCCAGTGGAGATCTGCTCTCTCTCTCTCTCCCTTTCTCACCTTCTTTCTCTTTCTGTTTCCCTTCCCCCTCCCCTCTGTCTCTCAGATACTCACAGTGGTGCTCATGTCCTCCCGTCAGTCTGTGTTCAGCTGTCTCCAGGGGCGACCTCACACAGCCACAGCCTGTAGACATCTTCTCCTCCTCTTCTCTCTCTCTCTCTTCTCCTCTTTCTCCAAGTCTGGACCCAGATCAGATAACACAGCACAGGCTCAGTCTGGACCCACATAGATCCATTATTTATGCCTTTGTCAATATCGGACTTCAACACATCAGGGAAACAGTAGGCTTTGTCTGAGATGTCTAGCTTTGAATGACTCGGTTAATAGTTGATTTTTACTAATAAAACCCCTTTCTGTTAATGCTGTGTTTTGCTCTAGTTTAACTGACTGTTGCAAGCGGATAAATTGGTAAACTGATCAATTGAATTCAGAGGCTCAACTCTCCTTCCCAATGAGAAACATGAATAGAAATCCCAATTGCATAAATACATCCTGTAACGTTATAAGAGATTCACGGAAACTTTTCACAATCGCTACAAAGCAATGGTGTAATGCCATTCAGAGGAGAGAGTAATAAACAGATAGATAGATAGATAGATAGATAGATAGATAGATAGATAGATAGATAGATAGATAGATAGATAGATAGATAGATAGATAGATAGAGAGATAGAGAGATAGATAGATAGATAGATAGATAGATAGATAGATAGATAGATAGATAGATAGATAGATAGATAGATAGATAGATAGATAGATAGATAGATAGATAGATAGATAGATAGATAGATAGATAGATAGATAGAAGCTGTAGATAGATAAACAGAGATAGAGAGACAGATAGAGAGGGAGATAGAGATGTAGAGGGTATGGCTTACCTCAGCTGTGCAGTGAGCAGACAGGACAGGAGAGGACAGAAGGAGTGAGTGCCAGGCCAGATCAAAGCCATGGTGTTAAGTACCTCGGAGGAGGAGCATCATCACCATCCATCCGCCCAGTCCACCGTCTCCATTAGCGCCCGTTGTCACAGCGACGGGAGCCCTCTCATCCTGTGTCTGCTGGGCCGCTGTATTAATGGGATATTAATTAGCAAACTTCAACAGATTCAATGACAGCAGCAGGACTCGTAAGGGGGGCTCTACGTTGGAGAGCGAGGGAGGAGGAGGAAGGTGGAAGGAAGAGAGGGGGAGAAGACAGAGAGCAGGAGTAATGGTGAGAGGAATAGGAGAAGGGACAGTGGCAGAGGAAAGAATGAGACGAAATAAAAGGAAAGGGAAAATTAGGAGAATAAAGAAGGATGACATGGATAGGTTATATGATGAGCAGATAGGTTAAATGATGAGCAGATAGGTTAAATGGTGGTCCTCTGTAGCTCAGCTGGTAGAGCACGGCGCTTGTAACGCCAAGGTAGTGGGTTCGATCCCCGGGACCACCCATACACAAAAATGTATGCACGCATGACTGTAAGTCGCTTTGGATAAAAGCGTCTGCTAAATGGCATATTATTAGTAAATGAAGAGCTGATAGGTTAAATTAAGGGATAGGTTAAATTAGGAGAAAGGTTAAATGGAGAGCAGATAGGTTAAATTAAGAGATAGGTTAAATGACAAGCAGATAGGTTAAATGAAGAGCAAATAGGATAAATGAAGGGCAGATAGGTTAAATTAAGTGCTGATAGGTTAAATGAAGAGCAGATAGGTTAAATGAAGAGCAGATAGGTTAAATGAAGAGATAGGTTAAATGAAGTGCTGATAGGTTAAATGAAGTGCTGATAGGTTAAATGAAGAGCTGATAGGTTAAATGAAGAGCTGATAGGTTAAATGAAGAGCAGATAGGTTAAATGAAGAGCAGATAGGTTAAATGAAGAGCAGATAGGTTAAATGAAGAGATAGGTTAAATGAAGAGCTGATAGGTTAAATGAAGGGCTGATAGGTTAAATGAAGAGATAGGTTAAATGATGAGCAGATAGGTTAAATGAAGAGCTGATAGGTTAAATGAAGAGATCGGTTAAATGAAGAGCTGATAGGTTAAATGATGAGCAGATAGGTTAAATGAAGAGATAGGTTAAATGATGAGCTGATAGGTTAAATGAAGAGCTGATAGGTTAAATGAAGAGCAGATAGGTTAAATGATGAGCAGATAGGTTAAATGATGAGCAGATAGGTTAAATGAAGAGATAGGTTAAATGATGAGCTGATAGGTTAAATGAAGAGATAGGTTAAATGAAGAGCAAATAGGATAAATGAAGGGCAGATAGGTTAAATTAAGTGCTGATAGGTTAAATGAAGAGCAGATAGGTTAAATGAAGAGCTGATAGATTAAATGAAGAGCAGATAGGTTAAATGAAGAGCTGATAGGTTAAATGAAGGGCTGATAGGTTAAATGAAGAGATAGGTTAAATGATGAGCAGATAGGTTAAATGAAGAGCTGATAGGTTAAATGAAGAGCTGATAGGTTAAATGATGAGCAGATAGGTTAAATGATGAGCAGATAGGTTAAATGATGAGCAGATAGGTTAAATGAAGAGATAGGTTAAATGATGAGCTGATAGGTTAAATGAAGAGCTGATAGGTTAGAGGGAGATAGAGATGTAGAGGGTATGGCTTACCTCAGCTGTGCAGTGAGCAGACAGGACAGGAGAGGACAGAAGGAGTGAGTGCCAGGCCAGATCAAAGCCATGGTGTTAAGTACCTCGGAGGAGGAGCATCATCACCATCCATCCGCCCAGTCCACCGTCTCCATTAGCGCCCGTTGTCACAGCGACGGGAGCCCTCTCATCCTGTGTCTGCTGGGCCGCTGTATTAATGGGATATTAATTAGCAAACTTCAACAGATTCAATGACAGCAGCAGGACTCGTAAGGGGGGCTCTACGTTGGAGAGCGAGGGAGGAGGAGGAAGGTGGAAGGAAGAGAGGGGGAGAAGACAGAGAGCAGGAGTAATGGTGAGAGGAATAGGAGAAGGGACAGTGGCAGAGGAAAGAATGAGACGAAATAAAAGGAAAGGGAAAATTAGGAGAATAAAGAAGGATGACATGGATAGGTTATATGATGAGCAGATAGGTTAAATGATGAGCAGATAGGTTAAATGGTGGTCCTCTGTAGCTCAGCTGGTAGAGCACGGCGCTTGTAACGCCAAGGTAGTGGGTTCGATCCCCGGGACCACCCATACACAAAAATGTATGCACGCATGACTGTAAGTCGCTTTGGATAAAAGCGTCTGCTAAATGGCATATTATTAGTAAATGAAGAGCTGATAGGTTAAATTAAGGGATAGGTTAAATTAGGAGAAAGGTTAAATGGAGAGCAGATAGGTTAAATTAAGAGATAGGTTAAATGACAAGCAGATAGGTTAAATGAAGAGCAAATAGGATAAATGAAGGGCAGATAGGTTAAATTAAGTGCTGATAGGTTAAATGAAGAGCAGATAGGTTAAATGAAGAGCAGATAGGTTAAATGAAGAGCAGATAGGTTAAATGAAGAGATAGGTTAAATGAAGTGCTGATAGGTTAAATGAAGTGCTGATAGGTTAAATGAAGAGCTGATAGGTTAAATGAAGAGCTGATAGGTTAAATGAAGAGCAGATAGGTTAAATGAAGAGCAGATAGGTTAAATGAAGAGCAGATAGGTTAAATGAAGAGATAGGTTAAATGAAGAGCTGATAGGTTAAATGAAGGGCTGATAGGTTAAATGAAGAGATAGGTTAAATGATGAGCAGATAGGTTAAATGAAGAGCTGATAGGTTAAATGAAGAGATCGGTTAAATGAAGAGCTGATAGGTTAAATGATGAGCAGATAGGTTAAATGAAGAGATAGGTTAAATGATGAGCTGATAGGTTAAATGAAGAGCTGATAGGTTAAATGAAGAGCAGATAGGTTAAATGATGAGCAGATAGGTTAAATGATGAGCAGATAGGTTAAATGAAGAGATAGGTTAAATGATGAGCTGATAGGTTAAATGAAGAGATAGGTTAAATGAAGAGCAAATAGGATAAATGAAGGGCAGATAGGTTAAATTAAGTGCTGATAGGTTAAATGAAGAGCAGATAGGTTAAATGAAGAGCTGATAGATTAAATGAAGAGCAGATAGGTTAAATGAAGAGCTGATAGGTTAAATGAAGGGCTGATAGGTTAAATGAAGAGATAGGTTAAATGATGAGCAGATAGGTTAAATGAAGAGCTGATAGGTTAAATGAAGAGCTGATAGGTTAAATGATGAGCAGATAGGTTAAATGATGAGCAGATAGGTTAAATGATGAGCAGATAGGTTAAATGAAGAGATAGGTTAAATGATGAGCTGATAGGTTAAATGAAGAGCTGATAGGTTAAATGAAGAGATAGGTTAAATGAAGAGCAGATAGGTTAAATGAAGAGATAGGTTAAATGAAGAGCAGATAGGTTAAATGAAGAGCTGATAGGTTAAATGAAGAGATAGGTTAAATGATGAGCTGATAGGTTAAATGAAGAGATAGGTTAAATGAAGAGCTGATAGGTTAAATGATGAGCAGATAGGTTAAATGAAGAGATAGGTTAAATGATGAGCTGATAGGTTAAGTGAAGAGCTGATAGGTTAAATGAAGAGCAGATAGGTTAAATGAAGTGCTGATAGGTTAAATGAAGAGATAGGTTAAATGAAGAGCAAATAGGATAAATGAAGGGCAGATAGGTTAAATTAAGTGCTGATAGGTTAAATGAAGAGCAGATAGGTTAAATGAAGAGCTGATAGATTAAATGAAGAGCAGATAGGTTAAATGAAGAGCTGATAGGTTAAATGAAGGGCTGATAGGTTAAATGAAGAGCTGATAGGTTAAATGAAGAGCTGATAGGTTAAATGATGAGCAGATAGGTTAAATGAAGAGATAGGTTAAATGATGAGCTGATAGGTTAAATGAAGAGCTGATAGGTTAAATGAAGAGATAGGTTAAATGAAGAGCAGATAGGTTAAATGAAGAGATAGGTTAAATGAAGAGCAGATAGGTTAAATGAAGAGCTGATAGGTTAAATGAAGAGCTGATAGGTTAAATGAAGAGGAGATAGGTTAAATGAAGAGGAGATAGGTTAAATGAAGAGGAGATAGGTTAAATGAAGAGCAGATAGGTTAAATGAAGAGGAGATAGGTTAAATGAAGAGGAGATA